AGTGAATGTTATGACCTTTATATATACCTATAAATACAGTAATTAGCGCCTACGTATGCAATTAATTGAAATTGTTACTGATGTGATGCAAGTGCCATAATAGTTTTTAGTCTTTTTTGAGGCAGTTCATTATGTTCGACGAAAATGTGTTAGGGCCAGGGGGTCTATGACCAATTAACATACCATTTCTCCCCCATGTAAAAATTACCAAATCTATCAATTACCAATGACTTTTCTGTCAATATTTTTTTTTTCAATTTTAATAGAAGGCGCCATACATTTTTAATTAGATGAAATCACATGTGACTTTAGTGCTGCTTTGAGCTCCAAAATGGTGATTCCAGCATTTCATCTTTCCCGGAAAAACGAAAAAAACTGTAATATTGTGTGAAGTTGACCCCACCCATGACTCGATTTTTTAAAAAAGCACACACGATTGTTAGTAGGTACTACGTTTGTGCTATTTGGTGCTTGAATATTGCAACGTTTAAAAATAGCCACTCCGATTGTTATTCCCTCCAAAAACTAAACAGATCCCTTCGTTAGTCGTAAACAACGGTATGATCTGAGGTACGGTTGGGAAGGAATGTAAAGTCAAACACTGAAATTGTGAAAAATTTGTTTAATAGTTATTGCTCATATTATGAAGATGGTGAAAACTCGGAAATTTAAGTCGAAATAAATTACATTACAAGAAAAAAAATAGGCTGGGAAAAAAGAACTTACCGAAAAAAAGCCAGCCGACAAATTAATATTAAATCGTGTAGCACAATTAATTGTTGCTAATGATATGAATGTATAACATAAAATTATTCAAACAACAAAATATGTAGCATGCAAACTTCGAGAGTTGACATATAGTTTAAAAAGAAGTTTTGGGAACAATGAGTCAGGTAAGCAAGTAACAAAATTCCGAGAAAGGGTGAAATACATAGAATGTAACTCAATAAAATCCTTTTGTTAGTAACAAGACGGAAAATTACATGGCCCTGTAAAAGTCAATGTTACGACAAAATATGTGGAAATCAGTGAATCACAACTCACACACTTAGATTCTAAACCTAAGAGTTTTTATTAGCGGAATCTTGTCCTCGAAATAGATAACTTTCCCCTCGTTCGGAGGTACAGTTGATTGTCGAAATCAGCCTCAGCGTTGACTGTCGTAACTCATTTCGTTACAGTTTTTGCCACCCCCATGACCTTCTTTTCAAGGCAAATATGCCTGCAAAAATGTTAGTTTACAACCAACAAGTCAGTACACATACGGACATCAAACAATTCGATAATTTTCACATGTTTAAAAGACTGCTCAAAAATATAAATCTAAGTTGAGGCCAAGACCATGTCATCGAAACTTTATCAAACATTACCTAAACCAAATTTCAAACAAAGATTAACGGTACCAAACTCATGAATCTGCATTGGGGTTAAATCAAGTCAATTTCAAAACCAATGATTGAAACTCACAAAAAATATAAAATTCTGCATACAAAACACAAATACATTAAAAGAAATACAAATAATACTACCTGCATTAAATAGCACAAAAATACCAACAAACTTTGACGAGCGATACTTTCGTGATCGCCATTAAAAACAAGATGCCAAACGTAACAAACGTTCGTGTTCTCGAGATTGCGCACACAGCTTTCTCCCCTAAAAATTGCGTGGATTCCAGCTTTCAAAAATGTGTGCATCGTCGTAAGTTGTATATACAGGGTGGAACCTCTCAACAAAAATACTAGAAAAGATATTTCGTAAATATCAAACCAAGTTTTAATAATTCAATTAAATTATTTAGTTTAGTATTTTACTGGCCAAGAAGAATCAGCATCCGGAGAAATCGTCAAAGAATTCATTGCGCAAGAGTTACTGAAGTCGGCGGATTTTAAGCTTGTATTCCTGTTGAAAACACCTGATAACTACCCCATTTTAATGATTCAACAAAAGTTAGCCGTAAGAATTCCAGATCTTTCACGGCGAAAACAAAATTGTAAATCAAGAGGTTAGTCATATTTCTGTATTCTTTTGTCAATGTCGATCGACAGCTTTACGATCCGTTGTAAAAAATTAAATTTTGACCTAAGTGCATCATTACGATTTGAAAGGAGATCCCAAACTAAAGTAGTCGAAAACAATGTAAAATATTGTCCTTTAATGTGTATTGTTATCAAAAGGATCTCCTGAATTTCTCTAATCCAATTTTCTCAAGGAAATCATGTTCAGGGGTTAACTATAACCTAATTTGTCAATTGTGAAATAAAAAAATTAATAGGTATATTTGAAGCATAAAGGACTTCTGTAAATGATTAGCCATTCAATTTCAAACCACTGATCTATTTAGAGCTAAGAAAAGAGATGGTCGTCACCTCGAAGTAAATTTTAACTTTTTCGAATTTGTGTCAGGCAGAAGAAATGTGAAAAAAATGTGCTATTGCTTCCGTTTTGTCCGTTTGCCCATCTGTCCGGACCCAGTTCTGCGGTTTTGAACTACTTTTAGAGGAATGATTATAGAGTCCTGGAATTCTTTGCAATATGTTGTATGAGTTATGCACAATTTATTCTTGTTTATAATAATAAATATTAAGTAGAGTTTTAAAACCCTTTTAGTAGTATTCTGCTGTGATTACCTTTAGGTTTCTTATAAAAGCCTTCGTAAAAGCCTTCAGAAGTCATTTAGAACTTGTTTTTCAAAATCTGATTTGGATCTTAAACTCTGCATGCCTACCGTCCTCCGAACTCCTCCCGCCCGTAGCCTACCGATAGAACTAGCCGTGACACTCATCCCCACTATTGCGTTGACGTCACAACTGACGGCGGCCGTCATATCGACTTTTAATGTAATTAATTCCAAGTAGTTTAATGTTGTACGCTTAAATTAACTGTATTCGAACAGAATAAGTAAGAAAATGCCAAATACGTGCTGCGTCCCTGGTTGCAAAAGCAATTATAGTTCAAGAGACAAGGTTCCTTACGGTTTTTCGTTTTCCGAAAAATGAAGACATCAAAAAAAGTGGTTATAGTCCAGTCAAATTAGCGCAATTTTGGACAAATAAAAACATTAATTGGTAAAGATCTGAATTTTGGTATACACATTTATTGCGACTTTCTATTGAACATACTAAAAGTCCCTGTCAAAATCTGTTGCGCTCGAGACGCCATCTTGGAAAAACGGTACACTTTTCCAGTTTTTTGCCCATGTCTCGGCAACTATTACTGATACGAAGAAATAGTTTACATGAAAAATATAGTTTACTAAATTCCCTATAAAAAAGAGTATTTACGTTTTTTTTGTATCTCCAATACTTTAGCTGTAATCTCACGTTGAATGCGTCAGAACGCGTTTAGGCCCCGTATCGTAGTTATAGTAAAGAGTATGGTTACTCTTTGGTTATAGGAAGGAGGCCGTCTTTTTTATGACTACACCGAAAGCTGTAAAAGCACCAAAAAATGAAAAAAATGTAAAAGCATTCTAGCAATGACAAAATGTTTCATGATACGACATCATGTTATTTTCAAAAAGGTAAGCGAAAATGATTTAAATTGTTGGAGCCACGAAATGATTTCTGAAGCTGGAGAACGCCGTTCTCTGCATATAACGTGCCTGCTAATGAGAGATATTTAAACCGACATCGTTATCAGACCTTCAGAAAATACGCGTACAAGGGTCAGCCGAATCTAACCACTTTTACCCCTTCGGTTACCCACTACAGCTGCAGCGGCGCAGCAACACACGTTTCGTATTAATCAGCAAGTTCAGAAATTCCGTGGATATGAAAAATCTCCCGAACTGTGGAGTTGAAGGAGAGTCCACGATTTCCTTGACCCTGTTTGGTCACTGAAGGCTTCCAGTCCACACTCAGTGCTTAACTGCTCACATTGAAGATGAAAGTTCTATTGAGAGAGAGAGAGGGAGAGAGAGAGAGAGTTTTATGAGAAACCTTTAAACGTGTCTCATACCAAGCTTGAGTGCGACGACTTCGCATATATAAGAAATACTGGCAGAATTTTCAATAAATTTAATGATTTGTAAAAAGTTGTAAAAAAATGTATGCGCGACTGTTTCGAGAGCTCAGGATACTTGATTCCCTATTCGATGTCGGATTATAACTAAAGTATTGGACATACAAAAAAATGTTAATATGATTTTTTATGGGCAATTTAATAAACTATATTTTTTATCTGAGCTATTTTTCCGTATCAATAATTGTTGCCGATATATAGTCAAGAATCTGAACAAGTGCTCCTTTTTTCCAAGATGGTGCCTCGAGCGCAACAGATTTTGACGGGGACTTTTAGTATGTCCAATGGGGAACACTAATGAACATGTGTACCAAAATTCAGATCTTTACCGATTAATGTTTTTATTTTTTCTTATTTGACTGGACTATTAAGATGTATTCACCGGGACAATTTTGAAATTACTAGTTACCCCAGGGTTTATATAAAGCATTTCTCCGACATTTTCATTATTCGGGTAGACAAGATGACTAGATAAGACGATACAGTATTAACAGTTCCACGAGACCAGATTAAACTTGCCGAAGACACGTATCCCACTATTTTTGAAAATCAGTCATCATATATGAAAAGGATGTAAATGATGAGTTACGGGAAAATATAGACCTTTGCAACTACAAATGACCGAAAATCTGTAGTCTCTAGGTGGTCCAGGGGCCGAGATCTCGATGGAACAGACAGATAGGCAGACGACGGAATAACGAGCACATAAGCGTTACCTCAACTTCGTTGTGTTACGCTAAAAAAGGCAGATGTGTGTATTAGAATGTTTAAATTTTATTTGTTTTCAGCTCGGTTTTCAGTGAGTATTTGTTGTTGATGTACGTATTTAATAAAATTTTTGCATAATAACACGTGTCTATAATTAGGAAACAACATATACAATCCTGCGGCTCAAAATAAGTAATTACTTAATGTTTTCGCGTTCAATGAGTACGCACGCGAATCAAATTGCATTTAAACACATAGTATCGCGTTGCAGTGGCCCATCTCCAGTTGTGACGTCACTAAATCAATGTCACGGTTAGATCTATCGGTAGGCTACGTCCCGCCTCAACAAACTTTAAACCTTCTACTTTGAACTACAAATTCTATAAACTTGGAACATGATAAGTATTTCAAATTACAGAAAGTGGAGTACAACATCTCAATCAACTTTGAAGCTAATTGTAGAATATTTCCAGGAACTACAAGCGGAATGTACCAAGCAAAAGTAGTATAGGTACCTAATAATATTGACGTAATTTAACAAGTAATTACCGCAATTAGACTAATATCAATTAACTGCTCATTATATCTTCCACCTTTCCATATAGTGTATTTTAAGTCAGTATAAAAGTAAATTGAATAATGTCAGATCTACTATAGCAATCAACATGAATCATCTGGTAAGATCGTGAGCTTTACGCAAAAATCTAACTCAATCTCTTGCAGTTAGTAATAGCCTTGGTCATCGCTGTAATTTCAGCCAAACCGCAGGGAAATTTCGTATCCGTAAGTCAAGATACGCTGGGAAACTACAATTTTAAATACGTTGCCGGAAGTGTAGCCAGAGCCGAAAGCCGAGATTCTTATGGAAATGTCGTAGGAGCCTTTTCGTATATCGATGCCAATGGCGTACTGAGGGAAACCCAATTTACTTCGGGGGTTGACGGATACCAACCAATTAGTGATGATATTCCAATTCCGGTGGTTGACACACCGGAAGTCGCTCAGGCAAAGTTCGCGCATTTAGCTGTACTTCATGCTGCTTACCTACGCCTCCCAACAGGGTTAAGTTTTTAATGAGCATCGGCACATAATTTATTTATTACCATCAATTTACTGTAATTTTTCACATTAAAAACGAACCCGTAAAACATGATATTCCATTTTTAAAACACGGCGGAGAGGATGGAAAGATCAGAAATCTATACATTTCATACCATTCCACCAATCAGAAATGTCATACGCGATATTTGTTTTTGTGCAATTTATAACATTTCGACCACATCACTATATTCCGTACACGTTGTCGCCAAATATTCGAATCTCCGGAAAGTGCTTTTGGTGTCATTTACACAAAAATTGTGAGACAGCAAAAATTGAGTTACAAGAACTGTGCTGACAGCAAGAATCTTAGATGCCGTGACTTACTTTCATATTTCCCTTCGTGCACCTATTTACGTATAGGGCGAAACTGCTAATAACCATATCGCCGTGAAGTCCCGCATCAACTTAATTAAATTTTGATATATTAGCTGCGAGTTATTTGAGAATCCTACCATACAGTCAACATTAGGTAAATTAATATGAGATTTAAAAAAAGGAAAACGTCTATTGTCTACCCTTTCAGTTTAGATTATATTATTTTCGATCACCTTTGCATGCGATAGCAATTAAATTTCACTTGGAGATTGTGAGTACTTATCTAGCAAATAATAAAAAAAATTAAGAAAAGTTTACCATTAAGTTCATATAATACAGATATTGGAATAATAAAATTGATTTAATATTCGCGCTTCGAAGTTGGAATGTAAAACTGTTATTGAAAGTGATACCTACCAAGAACTGCTTGTAGCCCTCCAAACGTTCAGGCGAATCTGAAATATTTCTCATAATCATGATCCATGGCCTCTACTAACGACGACGCGTTAGAACTCTTTGGTTTTATTTATTTATTTTTTTAATTTATTTGCCTTTATTTTTGGGTGGGCGGGGTTTCAGCCAAGGCTGTTCTACCAACCTAACACACTATACATTTACAAATATCTATGCTCGAACCGGGATTCGAACCAGGGACCCTTAGCACCACAGTGCAGTTTCAACTAAACTGCGCCACACGGACCAGTTCAGTAGTAGTTCTTTTAGAGAACAAGATACCCAAAAACAATCGTACAGTATGGTGTAAAAAAGGCGCGTAGGTTGCCATGTAATTTGCTGAATGAATTGAAGTTGGCTGCAAAGGATTGGCATAATTATCTACGCATTGGTAGTGTACGTCTTTGATAGAAAGAAAAAATACTGTAATGAGAGAAGCTATCCCACCTCATGAAAGGCTGACTATGATAATTCGCGAAAAATTCCTCCAAACACCTGACCAGGATTTCTGGATGGGCTCATCGGTCATGACTTTCAGTCAGAATGGAAATTATAACGCTGATATTAAAAATAACGACGTTATAATAATTTATTTTGAAGAAAACACTTACATAATTATTTATGGCGACGCATTGTTAATTATTTGACAACAACTCTTAAAACAAAAACAAAACAATATGGGACGCCTATCGTAGTTGGCGGGAACGCGGCCATGCCTTCTGCCATGACTTTGGCTCCTAGGGGAACAACTGCCCTCGAATAATAGAAGTGGCGTTACACCCTCCCCCTTAGGATGGCGTGAACCGTCCCGGACGACATCCTAAATATAGAAATCATTACATTCTTTTTGGGCGACCTTTTTTGCGAATAGGTCGAACTGGTGCGGGATTCGAATTGACGGAGTTATTAGTAAATGGTGTAAGTGAAGAAGTGTGGTAAGTTCCCAAAGGAACATCTGGACTCTGAAGGGAGGATATTTGGAACGCCGAAGGAGAAACCTTCTTCATGATCACATACGGCCCATCTCGACGAGGAGCAAACTTTGCGGTGTATCCTTGCTTCGCATTGCTCAGTGCATGAGTGGCCACCAGTACCTTATCTCCAACTTTGTAATTTGGACCAGGGATTCGTTTCGTATCCGCATAAGATTTTGCGTGGTCTTGTTCCTTGTAGACGTGGTCTCGAACACGAGCTAGTACTTCCGAAAAGGTTTTTAAATATGGGGTAATTTGTGGTACAAAAGGAGCATTCAGAATGATTCCTCGAAGATCTCGTTGCACATCATCCGGAGTACGTAATTCCCTTCCAAAGGTTAAAAAGGCTGGTGTATATCCAGTAGCGGCTGAATTGGTTGAGTTCATCGCAAACCGTATACTGGGCAAATGGTCTTTCCACCCAGTGTGGGAGTTGGTCGTGAGTATGGCAAGTTGCGTCTTAATATCGCGATTCTTGCGCTCAACAGGGTTGGCCTCAGGATGATAAGCGGGAGTCAGAACTTGCTTAAACCCAAGACAGTACGATACGGCTTGCATAACTTCTCCCACAAATTGAGGACCATTATCACTTATTACGCGGCGAGGGGTGCCGTAGCGCAAAATTACCTCATCGACGAGCATCCGAGCACATGTTTCCGCGGTCGCGTTACGTAACGGAAATAATTCCAACCAACGGGTACTGGTATCTTCAACCACTAAAATCCACTTGAAACCCTCGGGCGTTTCTGGTAGAGGCCCAAAAAGATCAATGGACAAGGTTTCGAAACGTTGATTTTGTATTGGCGTCTGAAGCAATCCCGACGGTTTATGATTGCTAGGCTTGAAGCGCTGGCACTCGGTGCATCCTTTAACGTGCTGAGTAATTGTCCGGCGTATTCCAGGCCAATAGTATCGACTCATTATCTTCTGAAGAGTTTTCTCTACTCCATAATGTCCTGCAAGCGGCGAGTCGTGGTACTCGTACAGAACCTTAGCGATTTGAGATTTTGGAACGAGTTGTTGAGCTTCTTCATCGTCGCTATCCGGAGAGTAACGAAAAAGAATGCCATTCACCATAACGTAACCACGTTCAGACCAGTTTGTAGCATTAACGGGATCATCTGTAGACTCCAAAGCTTCGATGATCTTACGCAGGTCTGCATCTTCCAATTGTAGAAATCTAATCTTACTGCCATCTGTTACTGGGAGATCGACTGCGGCCGTGCAAATGTCTGTGGAATCCGATTGGCGCGGAGGACGAGATAATGTATCCGCGATTGCGTTGCATTTCCCTGGAGTGTACTCGATCTCGATATCGTACCCCTGCAACGATAAGGACCAGCGAGCTAGACGACCAGTTGGCGATTTCAGCGACATTAGCCATCGCAATGGCTGGTGGTCACTAACAATTTTAATTTTCGAATTCTCCAAATAACCACGAAATTTCTCGACCGCCCATACCACTGCTAAGGCTTCACGTTCCGTGGTGCTATAATTTCTTTCCGCACTGGTGAGTAATCTGCTTGCATATTCAATGGGCTTTTCATTGGGGGGCTCCCCCTGGAGTAAAGCGCCTCCGATAGCGTATGCACTCGCATCGGTTCTTAGGATGAATGGTAGTTCATGGTCGGCCTGTCGTAACACTGGGGCAGTCGTTAGAAGGTGCTTCACATGTTGAAAAGCCTGATCTTCTGGGTCTTCCCATTTCCAGGGTACGTCTTTTCGGGTGAGCTCGGTTAATGGTTTCACTAAGCTTGCGTACCCAGGAATAAACTTTCTGAACCACGATGCCGTTTGGATAAATGTCAAAAGCTGTTTGACATTTTGCGGTGCTGGCATTTCCGTGATCGCAGCGACTTTGGCAGGGTCAGGCTCAATGCCCTGAGGAGTAATGAGGTGGCCCAAATAGTTAATTTTAGGCCGTAAAAACATGCATTTTCCTCGATTTGCTTTGAGTTTGAAAAGGCGAAGACGCTCGAACACCGTTTTCAGATTTGACACATGTTCTTCAAAGGTGGACGATAACATTATTATGTCGTCCAAGTAAGCTAGTGCGAGGATATCCCTTAACCCCGAACGTAGGCGATCTATTAAACGTTGAAATGTAGAAGGTGAATTTCGTAGGCCGAATGGCATTCGTTTAAAACGGAAGTTACCCATGGGCGAAGTAAAACCCGTTTTATCGCGATCCTCTTCGCGTACGGGTACTTGCCAGTAACCGGAGCGTAAATCAAGGGTCGTCATAAATTTGGTTTTCTTCGCGGCCTGCAATAGCTCTTCAATGCGCGGCAACGGGTATCGATCAGGCACCGTAACCGAATTTATCTTTCGATAATCGACGCACACGCGGTAACTACCTCACTTTTTTGGTACTAATACCACAGGTGCTGCAAAAGGGGATTCGCAGGGTTCGATTATATCTTGCGCTAGCATTCGATCTAACTCCTCTTCTAAAAATTTCTTTTTTATTGGAGACAGCTTGTATGGAGGGACTGCAATAGGCGTGTTATCGGACAATTTAATCGTGTGTTCCGCATAAGGGGTTGGCTCGAGACGTTCGGAAAATACATCTGCGAATTCATTCAACAATGAATTTATACGATCGCGTTCGTTGTCGAGTAGCGTCTCTCCCTCGTGCGCTCTAAGTGATAAATCGGAACGTTGTATTGCGTTTATGGGCACGGAATTCGCGATTTCCTCGGTTAGAAAACCATACCGGGTTTCCGGGTAATTTGAAAAGAACCAGTTATTTTGGGCGAAGTCCAGAATCATACCCGCGGCTTTGATAAAATCTGCGCCTAACAATGTCCGACTATTGACAAATTCAGGGATAGCCAGCATGGATGTCTGAATTTCGTTTGACTGGAGGTGAATGGTAATGTTAAACTGTTTGGCGATCACGACTCGTTCATTTCCGTCCGCAAGCTTAATCGTAACATCTTTGTCTATGAATGGCTCTCCGCATGAGATTAACAGTTTATACAATTGTGCTCCAGCGATACTGGTTTTAGAACCAGTATCCAAACATGCTGACCCATGAAATTGGTGAATTCTGATGAGTAGCATTGGACGTTCCTGATCAGTAGTTGAAGAAACGTTCAGCATATTGAATGTCATCATTGAGGACGTTGAAGCATGTGATGACTCTTGGGTTTTGGACGTACACTTGGGGCAGCTGCTACGAATGTAACCGGGACTGCCGCATCCAAAACATACCAATTTAGGACCTGAATTAGTGGTCGAGTTATTAGCGTCGTTTTCCGCAGGTGGGGCCGACGGACGTGTACGAGAGGCAAACTTCCTGCATTGGGATTTTGTGTGCCCAAAGTTATGACAAAATTCACATTTAGGCCGAGGTTTATTTGGTTTTTCCTCAGGAATAACAGACGGGTTCGATGTCTTGATGAAAGAGCCAGAGTTACTCAGAAAGTTCTGTTCTATCGACCGAGCTTTATTAATTAGCGTGTCGAAATTGTCAACTTGTTCGCGGGGTAAATGTTCCCGAATGCGGCGGTTAAGAAGACCGTATATCATATCGAGTTTATGCTTTTCGTGTAGCTCGGGTTGCCGTGGAAGACGTGCTAGCAGTGAGCGAGCATTTGCTATGAATATATCGGTTTGTTCCTGCTCCCCCTGCTCTTTAGAAATTAGTTCGCGATAGATTTTATGTGGCGGTTTATTGAACCCGAAAGCGTGGCGAAGTGATTTCAATGCGTCTTCCCACGTAGAGACTGTATCTCGAACTCCATGCCACCAAGTAGCGGCTTGGCCATCAAGAAGCATTGACAAGCCCTTAAGAGCGTTGTCCTCAGTAATCATTACGCATTATTTGTAAACCGATATCGCGTCAATGAATGCATCGCAATCGTCGCCTTTGTCACCCGAAAACCGAGACGCGCATTTTGAAAAATTCCCACTGCGTCCTGGTGCAGGTGAAGAGCTGGCGACTTCTCGATTTGTATTAGTGATAGGGTAATTCCGGGAGAGATGCTCAAATTTTCTAATATCATTTATTATTTTAAAGGTTTTCTTATTTTTTACATGTAAGTTAGGACAATGATTCGGCATATAATCATCTTTAGTAATTACTAATCACTTGCGCATTAGGACACGCTATAAAATTTATAATAATTTTTTTGTGCTGGTATCATTTGGGGCATCTCACCCACGCACTGTGGGAGAGATGCCATTACCATTTGGGTGAGATGCCATCATTAGTTTTTCTTTTTTAAGAGGAGTTTTGCGCAGTATTCGCACAAATTTTCAAATTTGGAACAACCTTCGTGCAGCCAATTCTCGCAGTGAAGGCACTTGATCCAATCTTCTTTTTTTTTAGTTGTGTGATACTGTTCGCCACATCCTGTGCATGCTGTGTCATCATCGTTTTCTTCGTTTGTACTGCTGTCATGCAATGATATATCGGATTCACCATCGCTTGAGTCAGAGAGTGCCTTCCTCCCCTTTGGAACTGTAGATGCACTCATTTTGCCTTTTACAGAAACTGATAACGGTTTCCTCTTGCCTTTTGTCGAACTTTTCTTTTTTAAAAGGGCGTCGTTTTTTGCCTGTTGTATCTTACGGCGTTTTTCTATATTTTCTGGGCTGGTGAGTTCCTCAGCTACCTTTCGTGCTCTTTTTGTTACATTTAGAACTGCCACACTTGGAACGGGTGCAACAATAGTTAACGCTTTCCCAGGCGTCAGCTTTTCAGCTTCATCAATAGGATCTGGGTGAATTTGGGGTGCTGAACGAGGTTCTTCGTTTTGCGGAATTTCTTGAGATGTAGATGGTTGTGGACTGGACCTTTGAGGTTGTTCTAAATCTAATTTATCACCTTCTGCATCTTCAGGGCCAGTTGTGTAAGCGTAGTCAGGAATACTGTCCGGATTATACGGAGAGATACCTAAAATGCCATTACATTTTTAGTGGTACCAATGTGGATATTAGGTCTACTTTTTTCTTACCTGTCGCCTTAAAACCAGAAGTTCCGTTCTGAACAGACGCTGCCTTCCCCCAGGCGATATTTAACAGCTTTCCAAACACCAGTCGAGTTATTCTCCTGTCAGCATTCGTTTTCACCCAAACATTGCACGCTTGGTAGAAAGCAGATTTTAATGACTTGAAGAATGCTCGGTCAAGTGGCTGAAGGTAGTGAGTGGTGTGCGGCGGTAAGCATAGCAGAATTATATCATGTTCTTCTGCAAATGATAGAGTTTCTATGGAATTGCAATGGGAAGCGTGGCCATCCAATAGTAAAAGTACCTTCCCTGCAGGTTTCCGCGGTAGGAAGTGAGTTTTGAGCCATTCTAAGAATATGTCTGAATTAATATAAGCAGACTTTTGGCACATATAAACAACAGATCCGGCAGGCATTCCATCTTCAAATTCCGCTTTCTTGTTCTTTCCTTTGAAAATACACGCTGGTGGTAGGAAAGTGCCCTCTCCATTGCAGCAAGCTACCACAGTAATGGTCTCGCCCTTTTCTGCAGCAGTTAAAGCAGTCACCACTTTTGATCCTTTTCCAGCAATTACCTCACCAGGTCTGTTGTTTAGCTGAAGACCGCTCTCGTCCATATTGTATATATTGGATGGCTTATTAAACAAATTATGTTCCTCCAAAATGTTCTTAAGCAATTGGAAATAATTTTGTACAATATTTTTGTTCATACCAAGACTTCGCTGTCTAGACAATCCTTCTGCTTTCCTTACCGACAATTCAGGATTCCTCCGTAAGAAAGATGCTAGCCAATCGTAACCTGCAAGCTGTTTTTCAGAATCGAATTTATGAGGTATTTTCAATTTTTCCGCTAATCTAAATGCCATCTCTCTAACATCTAGCCTTGTAGGAGTAAATCCTCGTTCTTGTAACCGTTTTATATGCTGAACCATTTTCTTTTCTCCCTCCTCGCCCAACAAACTAGCTGGTCCCATTCTTCCTTTGGTAAAATTTTTCTTTTCAATGCGTCGTTTTAAGGTTCGAAGTGGAATATTATATATTCTCGCGGCTTCATTAATATCTGTTCCATCAGAAACACTTTGTACAGCAGTACGCAGCATTTCCTCGGTCCATTTACCTCGCGAAGGGCATTTTTTTGTATACACAGTAGGCATTTCTAAAAAATATACAACAGTAGGTTAACGGCATCACACCCTGAATGAAATTGGCATCTCTCCCGTTTGTCAGGGAGAGATGCCTAACGATGTAAGAAGAACTGAATGCTTCCAAATGCATGGCTAGCGCAACGAAACATAACCCTACTTATTACTCTATCACCTTGTTATATGCAAATAATATACAACGTATGTTTATGTAGTCAATAAACAAGTTGAACTCATGCACTTGGAAATTTTCGACATGCTAAAAACGTATAATAGTTCATAACTTACCTCTACAGTTGAATTTTTCAGCGGTTATGACATACGTTTGATCACCGTAAATAGCGCTACAACTTAATTGCACAGTGAAGTCACCTGACCGTTAATATTTGCAGAAAAACGAGTTCGGCATCTCTACCGCAGTGGCATCTATCCCGGAATTACCCCTACTGCACTCTATTTCTATTAAAATACCATTTTGATTAGAATGTTGTAGGTACACATTAAAATAAAAGCAAAAGTCGATCACTTGATTTGTTTGATCTGACAGTAGTCAGTCAGTTGCGGTTGCTAGGCAAAATTTCCAGTCCGGTAAAAATTTTCAGTCTGGTAATAGTTATTTACATAAACGTCCGGAAAATGATACATTACTGGCGAGGAAATATTGAAGTGCGAGGCCCCTTTGGTCGACCGCCTACAACTTCCAATTCAAACCCAGACGCACCTACCCTTACACTCAAAATTTAATGCAGACGGATAAACATGGTGAATGCGTAACCATAATTTTGCGTTGTAAAATGAAGTTTTTATAACTCATTTCACCTTCTTCAACATCGCCGCCGCCAACTTCCAAAAAAAGTTCGCTTGAACATCCACCTAGTAGTACCTATCCAATGAACCTTTTTCGAGCTCTCCATACAACAATTTATATCCCACTTTCTTCAACATCCCCCACAATAAAGTACGATCGTATCAACCACATGGCATCTTTCGAGCTTTCTATGGTGTTTTATAATTCTCCCCTTCTACTTTTTCCACCACCACCGCCGCCACCGCAGAAAACCCATTGCATTGTCCTAACAAAATAGCACCAAGTTCTGACTTCAAATTTGGAAATAGAATCTTAATTGGCAGCTATTGAATAATTGTTGAATGGAAGACAGTCTCCAAAGAAGGTAGGTACTTTTCGTTTTCAAATTGATATTTTTACCCAAAATCGTCACGAAACCTTCATTTTCATGCCTATTTTCTGTCAGGAAATTTTAGTTTCCATGGCAGAGGCAGAGCAGACTACGTTTCCTGCCGCTCGTCACTTTACAGGTCGCACCGTCACTTTACCGGCCGCATTTGTGACATTTCCAAATGTCTATATGACTCCTGTTATCACTGACAGATTGTTCCATAGAAAAATTGAAATTTTGTATTAAAATACGATTTCGGGTAAAATACAAAACTCGTCAGTTAAATGACATTACTGGCGAGGAAACATTGAAGTGCGAGGCCCCTTTCGGACTTTTATGTAAATAACTATTTCCAAAATTAGTACATTTCGTTTGTTATTTTCCATTTAATTCGCAATCAATATCGATCAATAAATGAAATAAGTATAAACTGTAATCAGGGAAAAAATAATGCGAACACAAGCGATTGAATCGCATTGGATAGCATATCTGCTATATTGAATTATAAGTTTGCTTGTTAAAACACGATGGTCAAATGGAAAAGCGATTCTCCACACGTCACGGAAAAATTAATGTGGACCCTACCGATTGCAACACCGTTTCAGATAGTCCACGTTGTCACACTTATACGGTGCTACTAAATTTGCATGAATATCGATCAATAAACAACAAAGTTATTAATTTTTGCTTTGGGTTGATTTGGCTAAAACCCCTCCATAAAATACTCAATTTTTGTGGAACTTCTCATAGCTCGAGCTTCTATTGGCGACACCTGAAAGAGAGATCGCGATTCCAGCTCTAAGAAACTTTTGGGAGCCCAAAGTCGACTACCCCTCGCGTGCCTTGCAAAAGGTGGTTAATTTCGCCCGTAGGAATGAAAAACAAAATTCCGTCACGAAGGAGATGTGCGGGTTTACAAGATCTTTCCGACGACATCAATTTGAATGCAATCGGACACAAACTCTAGAAGAAGATAGGAAAAAATTTAAAATAACACGCTCAGTGATGGCGCCCAGATGTCGCCAGCCCCAATCATATAGTCTCGTCACTAAAGTTGTTCATTACACGGCCCCGGTAGGTACATATACACTCCTCGTCTTTCTACAAGCGTACTCATATACGGGCTCGCAGTTGCCGCCTGCCAGCTAGCCGGCCGGCCAAAGTGAGATGCGCTAAAAAGCTAATATGTGCTAATTTACTACTTTAATTCGAAGTTGCCCCTCCATTTCCAGAGGTACCATCACATACCTATTCTGCAGGAGATATTGTAGTTAACAGAATGAAGTGTAAGAAAATAAGAGTAAAAACACAAAAGGTAATTAATGAACATTTAAGACACTGCCGAAGTTATAATTACGAACTGTAGTACTGTTTAGAGTAACATCAGGTTCCGTTAGATCTATATAGTCAGTTTTCTCCTACGTTTACTATAAAAATCTGAGTACCTTTGAACAGAAAAAAAATTCAACTCAAACTTAGATGTTGAAAAATTGAAGAAAAACTTTAAAGGGTAGTAGCACGGCAACGAAAGAAGTGTTAAGGTTTTCAAAATATTCCGACGAGTAGAACACGCTGTAACGGGAGTTAAAATTGGTGAAAAGAACTAGTGTGTGCTTCTAAAATAAAATCTTTTCTACTCCCCTGAGAAAAGAGTCAACAATGTGATAGAAATTCCTAGACATTATTTCAAATTGATTACATATTTATTATGATTAAACAATGAATTCCAACAAATTATTATAATCAATCTAAACGGACAAACGCCTAATTCTGAACGTCCCTACTAGCCAGATAATTTAATTTTATATTAGCAAACATTGTCATATAATTCTAAAAGGTGTTCGAACCGAGGTAAGAATTTTTCATCTGTGACAGAGATGGGAACTTCCTTAGATCAGTGTCGAGCATTCTGCAGGCTACTCCGAATTAGGTTTTCTTGCAGTTTTCCTAATTCGTAAGGTAAATAGCGGGGTAGTATAGAAGACCTTCTGCAGGGGCACCTCTAAAAACCATTACGCGGATCACTCTGTAATTGGGCACAAGCCTGTTTAGGGCCCAGAACAAGAGAGGAACAAAAAATAAATAAATAAATAAAATATAATATAAACATAATTGAAAATAATTAGTCCGTTACATACTTAAGAAAAATACTCGACTTTAATAATATCCAATCAGCAGTATTTATACTTGTATTTGCGCACGCGCGTCAGTGATACGAGTGCATGTTTAGATACACTTTGTTCCATTGATGTAAAAATGAACACCTTTTTTGATAAAGTGCATATAACAAAACTCTTCGGCAATACAACAAAGTGCGCTAACCAAATTTTAAGACATTAATTGGCTCCTATCGTGCGTTACTGAGAAATACATTAATCTTTGGGGCTTTTGGGAGTATAGCATTCTTAACATAGTTACACTTTGTATATACATAGCTCCTATAGTGCCTGTTGCAATTGCAAACCATTGAAGAATGAACATTAAAAATTGGCAAAAAAATTGTTTATTGAAAAATGACATACATATTGTTACACGCCTTTTGAAAATAGGCAAAAAAAATATTCTTTTTTTGTTACAAATCAGTGCAGGCGCTAAAAGACTACATATATATCTAGCAGAGTGTGCTATAACTATAATAATTTAGAAGTAACAAATGTCTAATTACGATAAGTACCTCTTAATTAATCACAACTATTTTTTTGTTCTACCAAGCTAAAGAGTGTTAGTCTGCTCTCCACTAAAAATAAAGAAACAAATTTTGAATTAGGGTACTTGATTAGCACTATGTCGATGCTAGGTCATATGGTGAGAACATATATAGTTTCAGTCTGGCATAAATACCTAAAAAATATGTTTACGTTTTAATGTCTTGTGGTATTAATTGGGATAAATTTAAGAAGATATGCTTGTATATGACGTCATAAATTAAATTGTAATCTGCGAAATGATAAATTACACGCAATTAAGCAGTACTAATATTAATAATTTGATTTAATCTACCTAACAGACAAATTTTTCTTACCATCATTGGTTGCTAACGTTTTTGATCTGCACGCTTTGGTTATACGTAGTGGTGTTGACGCCACGTTGTTGGAAATAATCATTGGTAACTTTACAAACCTCTGTTGAAACACCATGTACATTCGAGATATCCAACAAATTCGACGAAAATACCTCGTTCCGAAGATTCGATGTATCATTCATCGAACGTCGTCGCGGTTGTATCATGTCAACTGTAAAGGTTTTAACAATATTTATTTAAAATTTCCATACGCGCAATTAATTATTCGTTGATAAAAATACGTTTTGTCAGTTATACGAGTGAGTAGTCGTACTATAAAGGTAAGTAGCGGCATTCCTTTCATAATCAAATAAAACGGCGTGCATCACAATACAAGTATTTACCTTTTGCAGGTTGTAAAAGTATTATGCTACCTTTGGGTAGCACTCCACCAGTACAGCAATCGAGCAATATGCAGCAACAGGGAAGCATGACTCCTACGGGAGGATCCAACAAACCTAGCAGTAGTTTGGTAAGAAAGAATCGACGATGAGTTTGCTCTAACCTACTCCTTATAGAAACCGAACTATACTCTCAAGTTCACTTTAGCCGGCCATACAAAAGCGGTGTCCTCTGTTAAATTCAGCCCGAACGGCGAATGGCTGGCAAGTTCATGTAAGTACTTCTAACCGGATCAACTTCAATTTCAAGTGTTATTGTAGCTGCGGATAAACTTATCAAAATCTGGGGCGCGTACGATGGTAAATTCGAAAAAACCATCTCCGGGCACAAGCTCGGTATAAGCGATGTGGCGTGGTCTACCGATAGCAGACTGTTGGGTAATCAACTGTCGCCTTTGATACGTCTGGTGGTGCTAAATTTTCTGTTGTAGTCTCCGCTAGCGACGATAAAACACTGAAAATATGGGAGTTGTCTTCAGGGAAGTGCTTAAAAACACTAAAGGGACACAGTAATTACGTTTTCTGCTGTAATTTTAACCCACAATCCAATCTGATTGTGTCCGGGTCGTTTGACGAGACCGTACGCATTTGGGATGTACGGACGGGTAAATGCTTGAAAACCCTGCCGGCCCATTCAGATCCGGTTAGTGCGGTACATTTTAATCGAGATGGTTCGCTTATTGTCAGTAGCAGTTATGACGGTTTATGGTGAGTTTCTTGCAGATTAGGTGGTACCTGACCAGTGTTTTGTAGCCGAATATGGGATACCGCTTCGGGGCAATGTTTAAAAACATTAATCGACGATGACAATCCTCCAGTTTCCTTCGTGAAATTCTCCCCGAACGGAAAATATATATTAGCGGCTACTTTAGACAATATGTTAAAGTTGTGGGATTATTCCAAAGTGAAGTGCTTGAAAACGTATTCGGGGCACAAAAACGAAAAGTACTGCATTTTTGCAAATTTCTCCGTCACAGGTGGTAAATGGATCGTGAGTGGTTCTGAAGACAGTATGGTATACATTTGGAATTTGCAAACGAAAGAAATTGTCCAAAAGTTACAAGGGCATACAGGTAACTTACGCACATTCGTCCAGAGATAAATAATGAAATTGTTTAGATGTGGTTCTTTGCACCACCTGCCACCCGACAGAAAATATCATCGCTTCGGCAGCGTTAGAAAATGATAAAACGATTAAGTTGTGGAAAAGCGACACTTAGCCCCATTTTTTCAACTTCGCTGTATAAGTACCTCTCGCAATTAAGTACAACAAAATTGAAAAATCTAACGTTAATTAGTGATTAATGTTTCAATTTAGAAAATTGCACCATAAGTCTTTAATACATTTGTATTCCAATCAGTGTAATTGACATTTTCAGTGTTGTTTCATAAATATAGAATATCGATTTTTTATTTGAGAATTTTATTGTATCAATAACTAATCCTTGTCACTTCTTCGATTTTACCTACAACATGTATCTATCAAAACTAAAAAGGGACACTACCTTCATACCTTTGTAGTACCATATGCTTCCAGTAAGCTGCCTTTTAACACATTCTTTCTCCGTTTAGATTTTTTAATTTTCACGAGAGATTTTCCCTGTTCATCTTTTCCTAACTGTTGAAACCTTAAATTGCTGTCATTTACTTCCTTCTCCTTTTTACGCTCTTCTAAAAGCTCCTTGTAATTTTTGTACTTATTTTTGGGCGGTTTTGCACCTGAAACAACGATAAACAAGTGCTCATAAAATGTGAATCGTACCTAATTTAATCGCCAGTCGTATTTGAGCTTCTTGTTTCTTATTATGATCCAATCCTGATATTCCAAACTTTAACACTTCGTAACGAGCCTTTTTTATGTCGAAAACGTTAGATTTTTCATTTTTGGTGGTTGGAGATGAAGAAGACGATGTTTGCTTTTGCTTCTTCTTGTAGGATGTGAAAGTGACTGATTCAAAATCTTTATTACAGTTTGAGTTTATAATCGAGGATTTTGTTGGGATAAAATCTAAGGAATTTTGCATTTTTTTAATTAAAATTATGTACCTGTAGAAAACTAAATTGAGGTTAGGTTGCCATTCACGTGTTGTTTTCAATTTTACCTTAGACTAAAATCCCGAAGATGGCGACACAATATTCTATGGCGCCCATTAGTACAAAGCGATCAAAAATGAGTTGCTGTCAGTCACCTTTGGAATTTTTGTTTATCTGTTTTGTTTTGTTTTGTTCCACGGAGGCCACCCATTACGAATTTATAATTACGTGATAACGAGAGTAAAATCGACGAGGTATAAAAGGTTGAACCCCTTTTTGGTGGTAACGCCAGCTTATTAGATCGTAACGTCAATTTTCTTCTTCGCCTCATTTTGTCCTCTTTAGCTTTAAAATTGTAATTTTCTTTTCTTCTAATTGCAGTGCAGATCGGACATGAATCTTCATTACGGATTTATAACTGTGGGAGGACGTAATTAGAGTATAATCGACGAGATGGAGATGGAAGGTTGGTATTAACTTTTTATTTATGCCTCATTGTGTACAGTGTAACGGGAGCTCTCAAAAAACTTGATACAGGCTTTGTTACAAACTGCCAATAGTTATCATTTATGCTAATCTTTAACTCAATATTATTTTCGTATTCAAAATGGAGGAGTTTGTCCATAACATTCAACCAACTCTCCATCTTTTGGGCCCGATTTTAATAATAACATCATATATTGATATTGGAGGGGAGAGGAGAGCATATGCTCATATCCTTTTCGTTGACTGTGCCCGTTTTAATTTCGGTCCAACGGGCGGATACGTAAATGACAGTAGTAGGAGTTAAAATGGACAGTGTTTCATTGAACCAAGTAACTAATGGCTCCACCCAATGAAAGAATAATAATGCCTTATAATAAGCGCTATTTTTTTTTCAAAAACGCGCTAAAAACTCTATTTGGAAGGAACTCGTACATGTTGTAACCCTATCTTTAAAACTACCCTTTTTTCTGTTTCATTTTGAACCCTTAGCTTTAAAACTCTAATTTTTAGCTTCCTAGCATGAGTTAGGTACCCATCTCAAAAGTCATTGAAAACTGAGAAAAAAATGCGCTTATTGTGGTCACTTTGGTTTGTTAGGTGTCGAGGCTTCCATTAAGAAAGGAATTTTTTCTTTGTTTATTACTAAAAAAGTGATAGTAAAAATGCGAAAATTGTACATACCTACGCAGATTAAAGATGCGTAAACAATTATTGCACATGCCCAGACCCACATTTATTATTTGAGAATCAATTCTTCTGAAATTTTAGGTTGGGATTCTTCTTAAAAATGAAATTGAAGTAGAACATTTCTTATTTGTGGCTGGATTTTTACGAAATTTTAACAGCCGGCCCGTGTGGCGCAGTTCAGTTAAAGCTGGACTGTGGTGCTAAGGGTCTCTGGTTCGAATCGGAGTTCCGGCATGGATATTTGTAAATGTATAGTGCCCACTCAAAAATAAAGATGAAAAAATTGTTATCTTTATCTAGATAAAAAAATTTCAAACCACGTTATATTTATCTAGATTGAAAATATGTTGATCTGTATCTCATTTTTATTAAAATCGAAAAAAATGGAATTTTTATAGGACAAGAGCATTATATGCGTGCAAGGTGGGAAATTAAATAAATTTTAGATGAATTTATTACTAGTACATATTTATTATTTATTATTTATTATTTATTATTTATTATTTATTATTTATTATTTATTATTTATTATTTATTATTTATTATTTATTATTTATTATTTATTATTTATTATTTATTATTTATTATTTATTATTATTTCAACAGAGAGTCCGAGATCAGGATTATTATTTTTCATTTAATTCCATACAAAAACGGCTACAGAAAATTGAAAACGTATGTCAGAAAATGGATTGCGCGTACGCAGAGTCATGTTCTTAGCGCGTTTCTACAACAATAAACAATGTGCTATTGTAGCCACTTTGTGCGTCCGTCCCTGGATCCCTCCGTCCGTCTGTCTGTTGGTACGGTTGTGTCGCATTCAGATATTTATCTTAAGAGCTGCTTTTGTGCCATTTGGTTCGTTATGGTGTCAAGGCTTGCACCATTTCTTCTATGTCTCTTAAAGGCAGTTATAGCAAAAAAATCTTTTTTTTGCTTTTCATAATTTTAAACGTTGTTGCATTTTGATTTTTAATTAGTCAAAACTTGTAACTCAAACTCTACTTTAGCGATCATTTTGGATCAAACAACCCCAACATTTTATTGATTTATTGATAGCAAAAGATAAAATTATCTCCGTTAGAAACCACGGTTAAAGGTTTGGGTCATTATTTATTAGTGCATTTTTTGAAAAAATAGATTGCGCATGCGCAGACCCAACTTTCTTGTTTATGAGCAGTTTTTTTTCTGAAATTTGAAAAATAAATTAAACGTACACAAAAAAATAAACTGCGCATACGGAGACCAAACCCCTTATTTCACAAAATGGAGAAAAATTCATAGGAATATTTTCCGAATTTCCTCGTTATTTTTTAGGGGAATTTTTCAAAAAAAATTCAATCTGATGGTTTTATCCGTCGGTCCATCTGTCCCTCATCTAACTCGATAACGAAAAGAGACAGCGATATCAAACCATCGCCAATCGATTTTTATTGAATATGAGCCGGAGTAACGTTTGGTTTACGGAAAATTTCCGCTACTGAAAATCGTGTGCGATTCTTCGTATCTTGTTTGAACATGTTCTTGAGCGAGCCTTGTTTCGACTCCCTTGTAGGTGTCGCGTTACACAATTTTGTATTAGCATTTTTATGTTATACATACCTACCAATTAAAGATGGAGTGTCTTAGGGGAATGGTGAAAAAAATTAAACTCAGCATATTATTTAAATTGCATCTTTAAGTCCACAGTGATACCTAATATAGACATTTTTTTAAGTATTTTATAAAAAATAAGCCATCATAAATTTATAACAAATTAAAAATATACTTAATGGTATTATTTAACAACAAATGTTGCCATTGCGTATATATCTATAATATAGACATTATACATTTTTTGAATCTAAACCTGCTTATATTATTAAACAACGATATGTACCTATATAATTTACGTTTTTAACAATAAACAGGTACCAAGTTGTAGGTAAGTATTAAATTCCATTCACAACCTTGTGTAAATAATACTGATTGAAGTAACGTTATAAAACACTAAAATGTGAACAGAACTAGGGATACGATACAAAAATAATATTTTAATAAAAAAAACGGGTTGAGTGTATGTTTTTTTGGCTTATTAATATAAAGTTACAAAATTCATATAAAATTATTTGTTTTCTATCAGCGCATTAAGCAAGGAATGATCAAGTTCCCTGTCCAACTGACGACACAGTATTTCGTAATCACCGATCATAGGTACATGCAATGACCCTTGGTGTAATTAAAATCATTTGGATAAACAATGAAATCTACCATGTTTTTTTTCTAAAAAGATTTGGCAACAGTTTGTCTAACATACAGCAGAAACTACAATGCTTTTCGTGTAGTAGATACAGTACTGTGTGTTTAAATGTCATAAAAGTATATTTAATCTACGTATCATTATACTAAAGACACTAATTACTCGATCATGTGTTGGGTGGGAGCCACTTCCAGTAACATTTGCAAGAAGACGGTCAGCCCATCTGCAACAAAAAAGAAACATAGAAGTACGTGTCGGAAATATGGAAACAACCCATTTTTCTTACGCAATAACCGTGAGCAAATGTAACGTGAGAGGCACTTATCAAAGAAAGATTAGAAATGTGGACCTATTGGGAAGTTAATATTAGAGATGAAAGTGGCACAATGGGAATTCTAAGAATTCCCATCGTCTTACCTAAATCCATCTTCTATCCAAAATGAGTATTTTCGGAAGAATGTTTGCCCATTCACCTCATGAATGAAGTGATTACTGATGCCTGGAAGCAGCTTTTTAAGGCGAGCGAGGGGCAATAAAATCTTACCCATTAATGGAATGCGCACTTTGTAGTGCACAAACGGTACGTAGAAAACCATTCCGCCCAGTATGAACATCGCGGCGTATAGGTACTCGATGGTAGGCTGGTCGATGATAGGCCCGATAATCAGGTAGATGGAGACCACGAAGACTAGCAGTGGAATGATGATCGGCACCTATATCCGTGGAAATGGTGTTAAAAGTACTTTAAAATTGCGTGTATTAATACCTTATAAGGTCGTGGATAGTTGGGTTTGGTGTACCGCATTACCATAAGGGCGACCATGGATCCTCCGTAGAATATCCACGCGGTGAAGCTGAAGAAATCGATGAGGGAGTCTATTGTACCGTACAAAACCATCGCCCCCGCGATCAATGACTGTGAAAACCCATTTAATACACATTTCTCAGCTTTTGTAATACATACGTGGAAAATGAGTCCTGGTGCCGGAGTGTATCGGCGAACGTGCACGTACGACAGGATATCCAGCATGTGTCCCTCGCGACTGGCAGCGAAACATAACCGTCCAGCGGCGAATAATGTTCCATTTGCCGAGCCAAACGTGGAGATTGTAACCGAAAGGGGCATGAGCCAAGCCATTACACCCAAAAGACGATTGCCAAAAGTCACAGCCACTGCTTCAGAGTTAGTCATTTCCAACGGCGACATTACCGTTAAGTAGGAAATATTTATTAAGGCATAGCATACTGTTACTAGCGGTATGCCTATAATTATGCTTCGTGGTAAATTTCTGCAATTATCAGGTATTAACACAGTTTGAAACGTACAGAGTGTTGTGCAACATACTTGGATGGATTTTTAATTTCTTCGGTCACGTAGTTCAGGTTATTCCAACCGTCGTAAGCCCACAATCCGGTGTAAAAGGCGGTAGCGATGTTTCCAATCGAAAACTTTGTGTTTTGGAATGGGTATTGGAGGTGTTGGATGTTTCCTGAAAGAGCACGTTAGTTTAGATATTAAGAAAGCATCTTAGGTTAGATTTTTGCTAGTAGTGAATTTCCTCTTTACAGAATGCGTTTATTTACGCAAACCTCAGAATTAACTCTTACTATTTACTTGTTGTCGACCTACCACATTGTTTGATATCGGAGTTGTGCAAAGCCCATTGTAGAGATTCATTACAAAGCCCCGAAGCTTTTGCAAAATGATTTGTAAATAACAAGCTCAAATTCATGTCATAGGAATTGCGATTTCAAGAATCTTTGTTCTTCCAACCCTAACGCCCGAAGTCCTTTTGAATGGAAATGAAATCCAAGCTTTGCACTTTTAAATAAAGTATGTAGCCAAATCGTAGTCTAGCGAATCCCAACTTTACGTGTCACTTTCGAAAGGGATAAACTAGACATTTTTCTTATGAGAAGCAAATTACGATCCTCAACTATTATTGACGATCCTTTTTATTTTTAGCAGTGCGCAAGAAACAATGGTTTGGCAGTCTGTTGGCGTTTTTTGATACTATAATCGCGCATTTTATCCCTGAATGTTATAAATCATATTGACAGCGAGCATAACAGGGCGAGCAATGAAAATAAAAGTTGCCTCAAAAAGTGGTCGCTTTGGAATTAAAAAAGGTGTTTTTTTCTAATTTGTATTTTGTTCAACGTAGGGAAATTTACACTAGTACCGCTTCATAGCGAACGAAAACGAAAGTATGTCTGGCGATAACGTGTGCATTTTCTGTTAAAGTGTGTGGTGCCAGATAAGTAAAGAGGGATCGGATTGTAAGGGCGCTTTTCGGCAGGCGAGGTGAGATGGCCGAATAGTTAACACGTACTATTTGGGCGTGAGAATGTTATTTTTGCATAATTGAGATATTTTTAAGCTAATTTTCGTAAGCGGTCACTTACTACGCTAAGTACGCGGAAATTGAATTCGTAGTGAAGTTACGAGTAACAATTTTGGAACGATCACGTATAAAATATCCTCGATTTTGTGAACAGATTCGTGTGCGATTTCAAGAACTAGAACGGGCATTTTATCGAGTGAAATCTTACCGAATAGTAGTAAAGTATAGCAGTTTTACTTCTGGCAAAAACATATTAAGTGCCGTGGCCTCTTCGGGTCCGCGACGAATTGCGAGTTACCTCCAATTTTTCAAATGTACAAATATACGTCCAGTAAAATTAGAATTATGGGACAGGGGAAAACTTTTCTAGCAGCTTAATTCGGGCAAGACCGTGTACAAGTGAAAAAATTTCACTAAGGAACATCTTTGTGTAGGTAAAACTACTAACTAAGCCCCATTAAAAAAACGGGCAACTTTAACACAGCGGAGCAGTGGCATTTTATTCCAGTGCTTATTCACGATCTAGAGTATTACTTTCTCGAATTTGAAGCCGGTTCGCTCGGATTCGCAATACGCAGGGACATTTTTGTTTTGCAGTCATGGAGTCAACTGTGCCATACAGAATCTCTGTCCATATTTCTAAAGGAAGCAGCATTATTTTCAATGAGAGATACGACCAATTGTAACCTGAAAGGAAGCTCATTGACGTCAATTACTGTAAGTTTTTTAAATTTTTTTATTTATATAAAGTAGTGGCCGGTTATTTTCGGGAATTTGCATATTCATTTTGTACGAAGTAATTCTGATATTCCTGAAGAAATCGACCTATAAGAAATTTATTTGCATGAACAGATTTTGTTTTGTACTAATTGATAAGAATCGAATCCAAACCAACGCTTCTAACTGTAACAACCCCGTTACAATCTGACTACCAGAAACATAGATTCGAAAAGTATGTTACGCTAACACCACTTTTCCTTTAAAATTCAACAAGAGTGAATATTATCGCAGAGCGATCACTAGAAGACAATTTCTAATAAATTGAGACTTGTACAACTTCCAGAAACAGAGATAGAGCCACCAATTCGTATATAACGCGAATTACGTCGTGTCTTACAGTGTCTTTGGGAGCAACCCAAAATGTCATACTTCCATGGTTTTGCCTTTGTGGAAATCAGCATAAAAAGGCCACCTTTTGACTTACAATTCAAATCTGACAACGCCTTATAGCTTATATGAACCGTTACATTTTATAAACGGCTGATCTTGCTAATTTGGTCGGATTTCTATAAAAAAAAATGATTCATTTAGTAAAAAACTCGCGTTTGCGTTTTTTAAAAATCATTCTGTGGACAATTTCGAGTATAAAAATGGAACAAAGCGATATAAATTGAACTCTGGCAACATTGTCTCAAAGCTTATAAGCTAAACTGCATTTCTATCAAAATGACCTGGTGACTTGCTCGTTAAAGTGGCTATAGAGCATATGTACCAAATTTGGTTCAATTTGATGTAATAGGCTAACGGGAAAAACGTCAAAAACTGGCTTTTTTTTTTATTTTGACACACTTGCACATTTCAGTTTCATTCAGTATTTCAGTTCAGTTCCAACTTCGATGCGCTTGTGTTATGTTATAAATTGTAAGTGATAAATAATAATAACTGATATAAATTAATCCATTTTAACGCTGTTATAAATTTGAGGGTAGTTAATTGTAAATAAATAAAACCACATAATTAAATTTACGTTACAATAGGTATCAAATTTATTATAATCGGAACAAAACTAAAATGTCAAAAAGAGTTCTTTGAACATAAATAAATAATGAACTGGCAGTAGGTACATAAAAATGTATCTAGGATGGATAAGGGAGGGAAATTTTGGGGAAATGGAGAAAATTTCAAAGGAATGAGAAGGTTTTATGGAAATATTAAGATATTTTAAGGAAATAAGAGGAAATTCTGAGGAAATCTAGAGGAAATTTTAAAGAAATAGGGGAAATAACGTTATGCCGTTCACGTTAATTCGGGGAAATTTAAATGTTGGGGAAATTACGAGAAATGGTAGCAATTTTTAGGCAATGAAGGAAGTCTTTGTTAGTAATTTTTAAACAATTCGATATTTCACAAAAAATTCAAATTTTATTTCTCTACAGAAGAAATTCGGTACCTGTACCCAAAATAAAATTTTAAAAAATTGGAAAAAAAAATCGGAATGAAATATAAAACTCACACAAAGTACACAAAAACAAAGATAATTAAATATGTACTCATAAAAATTGAAAAAAATAAACTTAAGAACAATTGAAAATACAACAAAATTAAAATTAACTATAAAACTCAGTTAACACAAACATTCAAAGAAGATAACATAAAATCAGAAAATCTGGAACAATTTGCAACATTCGGAAAGATACGGAAAAACGAAGGTAATTCAAAATGCATAAAAATAGAGACAAATCAAGTTAGAGTAGAGGTGCTAGTCATTTTTACAAATTTTGATATTTTACAAAAAATTCTTTCTATTTTCAAATTTTATTTCCCTGCGGGAGAAAATCGGTATCTATAAAAAAAATTAATGAAAATTGGAAGGATATAAAAATCAAAATAAACTGTAAAACTCAGTAAAAACAAACCTTCAAGAATAATAAATCTAGAACAATTCGAAAAATTCGGAAAATACCCAAAAGCGAAGATAATTAAAAATCATAAAAATTGAGAAAAGCTAATTTTTGAAAATTTCGTATTTCATGAAAAATTGCTTTCTATTTTCAAATTTTATTTCCCTGCTGAAGAAATTAGGTACCGTACAAAAAAATAAAAAAAAACTATACAACTCAGTCACAAGCGCCATTACAACATACAATTAGAAATTCTAGTGTAATTCGCAAAAATTCGGAAATATGCGCAAAAACAAAGACGATGAAAATTCATACAAACTGAAAAAATTAGATTGGGGTGTTGGCAATTTTTAAAAATTTTGATCTCACGAAAAAATCTTTTCTATTTACAAATTTTCTTTTCCCGAGGAAGAAATTCGATATCTGACAAAAAAATAAAATGTAAAAAAATTTTGAAAAATGAACAAAATTAATTATAAATCTTAGTGAACAGAAAAATTCCTTGAACTTCAGAAAAATTCGAACACAAAATTAGAAAATCTAGGTCAATTCGCAAAATTTGGAAAACTACGCAGAAAGGAAGATACATAATTAAAAGTTCATAAAAATTGAGAAAATGAGGTTAGAGTAGAGGTAATGGTTAAAAGTTTCTTTCTATTTTCAAATCTTATTTACCTGCCGAAGAAATTTGGTATCTGTAGAAAAAAATAAAATTAAGAACAATTTAAAAAATATAAAATAAAGAAAACTATTAGACTCAATGAACACAAACACCAAAAATACAATCAGAAAATCTAGAGCAATTCCCAAAATTTGGAAAAATGCGCAAAAACGAAGATAATTAAAAATTCGTAAAAATTGAGGCAAATTGATCACGTGGGAAATTCTTATCCTTCATGTAGGAAATTTCGAGGAAATAGCTGGGAAATATGTAGGAAATGGTATGGCTGTTTGTGATTGTATAGTGGGTTGAGTGGGGAGAATAGCTAATTAGCTAACACTCCGCCCACTATAAAATAAAGGCAATAAAAAAAGAAAGAAAAAAAAATATTTTGAGGAAATAATAGGAAATTCTGGGGAAATCTAGAGGAAATTTTAAGGAAACAAAAGGTTTCTATAGGAAAGTAGGGAAATGTAAGGTAACGCTAGACATGTTGTGGAATTTGGGCAATTTTTAGGCAATGAAGGAAATCTTTGTTCCCTAAAGTAAGTCTTGACCAACCCCTCGGGGTTATTCATCCAAAATTAGTTTTGCCTGAAGTTGTGAATTACTGTAAAAATTTTCAGCCTGGTCACGATGATGGGGAACTCAAGTTTTCACCAGCTCCCGTACAATAAAATAAAATTTGCTATTAAAAATCACAAACTGGACTTCCATAGCGTCCTAAATATTAAATTAAGGTATGAATTTAATTTCTCGGGATGTTTTCCTCTAATGAGTAATTACCAATCATACCGATTGGGCTGAACCGCATCTCGTTGAATAATTTCATATTAGCTTTCTAAGTCCTTTGTCACAGATTTCCCATTTAACCTAGTAATCGATCCGTTCATTTTGCGTACCTGTGACGAGCGAGGTTTAATTAATAATTATAAACTTATTTATTATGAAAGAATTTTGATTGAACTACCGCCAAGGTTAGATAGGTAGATTTATTTATAATTCAGTTAGTTTACTGTTAGATCTGTTACGAAATTGGTTTTGAATACAGTCAACAGTGTTCCGTACATTTGTAAGGAACTCAACATGAACAAGTACAGAGATTTCATGATGTACCTATTCAAACGACTCCATAGATGAGCCGTACTGGGCTTGAGCATTTAGTAATTAGATACAGCGAACCACGTGGGTGTAGGAAGGATACAGGATACCTACAATTAATTGAAGACGATACCTTGGATGTTACTCTAAATACATGACAAATAAAACGCGTAAAACCTAGCGTATAACAAACAATATGTTTTTGCTTGAATAAATATCATGTGAAGTCCCTTTTAGATAGGGGGATAGAGCGAGGATGTGCCGGAAGCCTACTCAACTCAATTCTAACACTCTGATAATATAGGTAAAATGCAATGAAATTTGTGAAATCAAGAGATATTTTGATGCGATAGAAAATCCCCAAACTAAATTTGGCAAGATCTAAATAACGACGATAAGTTTACCTACCTTCGCACATTTTATATATTCCACCAACTATAACCAGAAGTACTGCCACCAATTTGGCTGCCGTGAATATATTTTGAACGCTCGTTGCCAAGTTAACACTGTAGCAGTTTATGTATAGTATCACCACTAAAAAAAGGTACATAGAGATAAACAGCATCAAATATAAACGCAATAGGCTTACCTAATGCCAAAAGAGCCACCATTTTCACAACTATATCTGGGGGCTCACATTCGTTGACGAATGCTTCAACAGCATACTTTCCAAAGCTAAGACAAATAATTGCCATTTGTGACGGTTTTAACACTAAAGTGCTTGCCCATGAGAACAAAAAGGCGGGAGGTGCTCCAAATGCGTCCATGAAATAGGCGTACTCGGCACCAGATGATGTGTTCATGGTACCCAATTCAGCATATGCCAGGGCACCTGAAGAACATACGTTAACCATTATTGACCCTAAGGAAAACTTACCTAGTAAGGATAAAAATCCACAAGCCATCCATATGACGAAACTCATACCAACTGATCCGGTTCTTTCGAGTAGCCCCGACGGGGACACGAAGATTCCGGACCCTATCGCACAATTTCAAGTAGATTCTCTTACAAGCGTTTAGTTTACCTATCATGGTTCCGACAATTAAAGCCACCCCACTGATGAGTCCCACCCGTCTCTTGAGGTGAAGAGTGTCATTCTCAGTTGAGCCGGATCCCTCCAGCTTGTCTGGCCCTGCTGTGGCTGACTCTTCAACGCCACCCCCTTCGCCGTCGATAAAACCATCTCCGTTGCAATTGGTACTCCTGCCACGAAACTGTAAACCTTCCTTCGGAAACCCATTATTGTTTCCTGCGGGAAGAGACGATCGTTTTAGAATGGATACACGTGTTCACGTTTGGTGCAATTGAACTTTCGTACGAGCACAATCAAATTCATTAGAGACAATTGATATCCGCATTAATTGTTAGACGCTAACTAATTAACCTCATTCCTCCTCAAAAATATTGCAGCGCATTGTATTCTTTCTTTGGGAAAGAATGGGTACCTCGATGCGTGACTCCAGTAATTAATGTCTAATTGGAAACCTTTGCTCCATTCAACCGACAAGTTCACCGGTCTTTATGCACAATTAAACGTAACAGCGATCAATTTTCTGAAATGCCGCATGACAAGTTTCGGGTATTTGAATTGGCAACGATTTGATTTCCGTACAATTACGTCTAATTGGAGCCGGACATTAATTTATAATTTTGAGAGAAGTTCAGAGTTGCTGTGTATTGTTACTCGTACTTTGAATTCATACTACAGTTCAATCATCCGCACAATTTATTATGCTCTGTGCAACTATATAGAAAATTGATCTTCCGTCTACTAGGTTGTTCCCCTTAAAACATCGTTATTTATTCATTAATTTTTTAGGAAAAAATAAAAACTCAGCTTGGTATCCAAGAAGTGAAACATATAATTTTTGGTGTTTTATAGATGAGCCTTCTAAAAATGGTAAAGCGGTGGTTCTCCTTTTCTCCTTAATACTCGGACTGTATCACATTAATACGCTATTTCAATTGGCATCGGAAGTTACTTAGATTCCACCCTCTCCGCCAATCTAATTTAATTCTTCCAAATCAAATTTTTGAAAATTTGGAAAATACTACTCTTAAAGAAGCAAGCAAATACGATCATTGGGGTAGCCTTTGAAGATAGTCCTCCTTAATGCCTAAATTGTCATTTTTTAACCCTGTTTTTTTACTGAAATTCGGATAAATGAGATAAAGTGAATGCAAAAATTTGGTGGAAATAGGAGGTTCCTAAATCACAAAAACTGTAATTAATTCGCATTTTCCCACCGTTCCCGTAAAGACATTTCAATTATATTTGGTGCGTCCGAAAGCTCTGGTCATTTAGAAGGCGAGGCAAATTAATATTTTAGAATTTCAGCCCAGTTAAGTAATTATTAGATGATTTTGTTTTTGTAAGTTAATTTAAAACGAGCATTAAAACTGTAGCTTGATAAAAGACCTTTTGCCGACCTGAGAAATTTCAAAAGACAATAGGGGTTAATTAGAAGTACGAATTTAAAAATTGCACACATTTAAGTGAGTACAATTAACAGTAGCTGATTTAACTTTGCAGAATAACATTCGATTCAGTCGTAAGTGGTCTCAAAAGAAGCTCTTAATTAATTTTAATTTTAAGATCAATTTCAGGTTTTTAGGCCTTCAGCAGGCCGCACAATTACTTAAAGAGGTTTTAATTTTTGTACGTTCTTATCCGAATACACTGGGCTGGTTGGGAAAACCGGCGTTCCCTCCAGGGTGTATGACCAAATTTTATTAAAGGTAAAGCCGTTGTTTAGAGGGAACCTTTTGTCCGTGGTGTTTTAACAGAAACGTAAGATCTTTTGCTTTTGATGTTTTACTAGTTCCATTTGTAAGTAATTTTCTAATACAATGCATGAAAATATACTATTACTATTGGTAAATATTTAAGACAAGGTTACAATATTAAAATATTACAAATAAAATTGTTAGAAAAAAAAAAAATTTAGCGTATACTTAAAATATAAAAAATTTCAGTAAATGCTGTCTGTTGGGGTAAAGTGCCTAAAATACAAGCCGCATTTCCCTGCTGAACAGCTAAACTTAATCTTTGTTTTAAAAATTCTTGTTTTTTCAAAAATTTTTTTACTAATTTCTGTAGTAATTTTTTTTGCAGATGGACCCCAAGCGCCATGTGTTTCTATACCGAAAGGGTAGAAAATAAAACGATCTAGTAGATTACTATACTTTAGCACCTTTTTTTTCTGCGGATTCCGCGGCGGATCCAGCAGCTGACGTCGATGAAACAATGTTGCTTTGTAAATAAATTTAATAATTTAATAAATAAATTTGTAAATACCGTATTAATATTTGATACTTTCCGTAAATTTATTTTGCACTCATTCCGTTTGTTTTTGTTTTTACATTAAGTCGACGGCACCGTATTACAGCTTTTGCTTGACCAGAGGCAAGGCCGTGTCCCTTGGTGGTGCTCGAGTCCGTTTTATAATAATTTTTAATTTTTATTAAATTGAAAAGTTAACATTTCACATAAAAAACATCACAGAAAAGTAGATAAGTTGGTTAAAATTCATTCATAGGCATAAATTCAAAAAGTGGCAATGAGAGAAACACTTTGCTATTTTTTTTCTATTTGTTCATATAACAAAAAAATTAAAAACCAAATCGGCAAATTTCCGTTTTTCTGTGATATTTTCGGAAGTAATCGGATTTTTTTTAAAGCATGATAATCTTTTTCCTAATTTGACCCCATGATAGACATCGTCATTTGGACACAGTGTATATTCGAAAGGTATTATTATCTAAGATGGTGCCAAAGCTTCTGTTCGGAAGGTAATTTGACTCAGGGCAAGTTAAAGTGAAACGGGCTTTATCCTTGGGATCGCGTAAGGATAGACTAGTAATGATTGGTCCTATTTTAACTTCGTCCCACTTCGCCTGTATACCATAGACAGGAGGTAATTCCAACTAAGCGGAGGCCCATGTCATGAGGGCTTCTTCCCAGTCAGAAATTGAACCTTTTAGTGAAAAGCACACACGCAAAGAATTATAATTTTTGAGCTCTGTTCTTAAATAAACAAACAGATATGACCGCAGGCAGGTTTTTGAGACTGCAGCCCCCCCCCCCCTTTTTATTTTACTCATGTTCGTTGGAATTTTAGAAGCTCCTATTTGGAATTTTTTGATCCACTTTTAACACTTTTAAACGACCACCCTTAAAAGGACAAAGAGAGCGTGATCGTTGATATAGCCATTAGTCCTCCTCTTCAATACTTTTACCAGATAATTAGGAAATATGATTTTAGAAAAAAACTCAACTCTTATCTTGAACGCACTGTATTCCTCAATCGCTGAAATGCTTTCCGGATATATTTTTCAAAGATTAATTTTGCGATCCTACTATGCATCAGGCTTCGAAAACAATGGAATTCGGTACAGAACGAAAATAAATAGCGGATTATACCGTGCTATTCATTTAGAAGTAGACATAGGGATTTCCTGTCTACTTTAAATGACCAAAATGCTTCTGAAAGACGTCTAATTGTGCGCATTTTGCATTGTCATTCTAGATGTTAATAAAAACGACCTTAAATAGTATGCTTTTAGGTTATGATGAAGAGATATTAAATTCGGCTGCTATTTCCCTTAAGTTTCTTATGGGATATTCTCTTCCAAAATTAAAATATTCAGTTTCACATCCTTCGTTAAAAATGAGGGTTGTTTATGGTGTCTTATGTGGATCGCATTTCAATAACCACTAATTTTAAAGTGATCAACACAGAAAATAAGTCTCTTACGCTTCTTAAACTATTACGGCACTGTACCAATTGACAATATCAGCTTTTTTTCAGTTGAATATATCGCACACGAACGAAAATAAAAATACGGAAGCCAAAGCAATAATATTCCAGTTAATTAATAATGACAGCAAAATCATGATTTGATTTAAGAAATTATTTTAGTTACATAAAATTTGGCGTCCTTCAGCAGTTTTTATCATTTAAAACTATGGAGACACAGGAAATCCCTATGTCTACTTCATATCACTGTATACGATAGTTTTGAATCAAGCATTTTTTCCTAGGCGGTGGTTTATTGGGCTTTAACTGCACTGTAGCCGAGCGTGTAGCGGTCATTTCTTTTGTGAGTTGCGACTACCAATTCCGGAATAAACAATGGCATAGTTTATACTAAAGGGACATCATATAAAGTACGCTAGCGTAGCCTACTCTATAATATTCTGTGCTAAAGGATTGAAGAAGAGTAGCTATCTTTACGGAACTGCGCATACTCATGATTTGGAACCCGATTGTATAGGGAATAAAGCACTTTGGAATTAACTAACGCTATGGGAGCGTAAATTGGTCTCGTACGGGGTGAATGATTTATATTAATTTCGTAATAAGACCTACCAATAATTTTTGTATATAAATACATGTCGTTCAATAAAAGATAAGTTCAGTTTTCTATGAGAAGCTGCGTTTCAACGAAAATGTGGACTTGCAAGCTACCAAAGACTGGACTGACATTCATTGCAAAGCGTCATTGATTGAGCTAGCCGTGGAAAACGTAAAATTTATATTAGAATTATTTATAGCATTATACCTGTGAACATAATTATGTGAATAGGCTGACGATAAAATCGTGGGTCATAAGTCAAAAGGAAAGTATCGCCCTTTTCTATATCACAGTGAAACACACTATGCTATAACGATATTTTAGCAGGGGATAAAGTAACTTTGGCTGTAATAAAGTGCAGGCATTTATGCTATAGCCAAAAACATTAAACACATTTTATCGAAGACTTTCCTTTAACTACCGTTGTCAATAGCAACAGGTGCAATAATAAATAACGAAATATGTTATTTTGCAATTGTTCTTTTGCTGTTAGTGCATAACAAAGCAGTGTTATAAATTGTGGGAAAATGCTCACTGTGAAGGAGAGGCAGGCCTGACTGTCATCCAAAAAATCAGATTTTGAATAATTTGAAATCTGGCACGGATAATAATTCTTCATGTAAAAGGTCATATAAAAATTTGATGTGAAAGTGGCGTGATTTTATTGAAAACTGATTTCCATATTAAAGTGTAAGAATAGAGCTTTTTATACCTTACCTTGACTATTTTCTTGTTTAACTGTACGAATAAATCTATTATCGATGAAGTCTTTTATCGTATCTAACATTATACGTTACCACTAGTAATTACTGACTCTGTAACGTTAACTAATCTAATCTTGGGCAGCTGCGAAAGCTTTTTCAGTAATGCATTGCCCCCTCCTCTTTTAGTCTAACTTAAATTTAGATCAAGTGCAATACCTACATGAAAACTATTTGCACGTGAATCTGCATAGATGTAACAAAGTAATTTCTGACGCGTAACGTAAACCATAATTGTTTTTTTGGGTAGTATTTTGGCACTGCAAATGCAATGGGAGTTACTCTGACCATTATGCTAATTACATGAAATTAATAATGCTAAAGAGATGAAAAGTCAAATTCTGAACGTTTCTTCGCTTATAGGTTTAATCTCCATTTTCCAACTGTTTTTGTCCATGTTGTGCTTTTCATCCCCTTGTGAAATCAATCCAATTTCAATTACATTTTTATTCAGTCCGTTCAGCTCAGCGAGGCAAAGTAAAGTTCATGATTAGATGGATCTCCAAGAAGAGGGAAATTGTATCATCTCGTTTGTATGTAGTGTAGAACGTTAAACGATACAATCGTCTTGTCCGTGATTGAAATAATCCAGTGAGAGCAAAAATAGCTTTACTGTACCTATAGGCAACTGACAAATTATTTACGTTAATGTAGGTGAATCAGAGGGTCATTAATTTTGTCAACGAGTGTACCTTAATAGCTATATATCGACGAGCCATCGCAATAAATGCTCAATCGTACAATAAGCTTTGTTAAGAAGATTAGGAAAACAGCACACGAGCCAAAAGCATCTTCCGCAATCAGAATTGTGTTGTTTTCGGTAGCAATAATTATGGTATTTGTATTCATATCTCGTGCGTGTTTACTACCATATAATCTCATATTTTGCATGCACGGAACTCAATCCAATTTTTCTAGTTCATTAGTCCTCAAATCGCTGCAATGAGTTTAAGAATTTTTAGTGCGGGATATTAATATTTAAACGTTAGTTTTTATGATTATGGTTAATAAGTGGACTTAGCATAGTTTTTGTTTGATGTTGCTTTATGAAAGCTTATGCAAAAGAGCGTCTCAATAAGGGATTTAAAACTTTCAAAGCTCTCGCGCGTAGAGCGAATTTAATTAGGTGCCAAAGGCCTAATTGCAGTATCAAGTGGAGTACCCTATCTATTTTTTGAAAATTCGCACGTCCGCCCTCAAGAACGAAAAGAGAGAAAAGACGCGTAAAAATTGAACACCCCCTTGGCTTGTTAGGGATCTACTAATATTACACCTACAGGGCTTCTGTTGATCGAAAAATCAAATAACGAGCCCTTAATGATTTCGAATGTTAATTAGCTATTAGAGTGATAGCGAAGTAATTTAGGTATCTGTGGTGGTAGTAAATAAATAACAGATATTGAAAAATGTCCTGTCGCCTTTTGCCATGTTAAATTACATTTCTTTTATCATTAATTACAACTGTTTAACATTCAATCGCCTTTTCAATCAATTTTATAGTATAAGAGAAAATGAACCTTCGGATTTTATTGAACATTGCTAAACTCGAGAGGCTATATGGACAGAAATTCAGGGCGAGGAGGTAAAACTGCAAAATTCACTGTTCCTCAATCGGGTTTTGAACACAACGCCTGTCGAATACCATGAATTTTTTAATACTTGGGTACAGAATCAAACGTTGGATAATCTTAGGGTGAGATTATGTGTTGTTTAGCAGCGGCTGAATGATGGAAGCTCCTCAAATAGTTCTATTGAGGGTGCTACCTATTTTGCAATAAGCCTAACAAACCCAAGCAGGGGGGTGGGAGTGGCGACAACTTAAAGAATTTTGTTGCAAAATGTTATAAATGTGGCGAGTTAGGCCATTATAAGCGGAACTGTCAGAATTCCAAGAAGTGCGATTGTCAATCGTCAAATCTGTGGATTCCCCCAATGCTTGGATTGCAGATTCCGGCGCAAAGCAGCGTAGGATCATGAACCCTAATTAGCTTTCTACTTTTGAGGTGTTCTTTTCTCAGAAAAGTACTTTCAAATTGGAACTGGCCAATCAATTAAGGCGCTTGACAAAGGCATTGTCAACATTGAAATGACTATCAATGTAAGGCTAAAAGGGTTATTGTGAGGATGGTTTGTTCCGGAAGTGGGTAAAAATTTGTTCTCGATGACTTCTGATCTGGATAAAGGGTACTATTCGGTTCTGAATAGTGAGAAATGCTACATTTGCAAGGACAAGGTTTTGTTTACTCAATCCAAGAGATCAAATGAGCTGTTTCAAGTTTGGCAGAGAGATTATCTAATCAGAATAATAATAAATTCTGATCCGAAGAAAAATGGTATTGTCGTGATGCTGCATTAATGGAAAAAATGCAACGTGTGAGCTTCGGGAAACGCAAGGAGGTCATTACTCGCCCGGGCCAGAAAAATCCTCAAAAGGAAGTTGCTTCTTTGTCGTTTTCAAGGATGAGTTCACTAAGTGTCGTTCAGTTTTCGCACTAAAAACAGTGAAGGCTCTTGGACACGTAGCGAAGGTGCTTTTGACTGATCATGGTACTTAATTTGGGAACGAGAACGTTCAAAAGATCACAGAAGAGCAAGGTTTGCGTCACCGAACATCTCTACAACAAAATGGCGGTGCCGAGCGAGAGTCGGATGTTAGTATCAGCCGTTAGGACTATGTTCCAAGGTTCTGGACTCACTGGAGGCTGTGATAACTGCTGCATGAGTCTGTAGAACCAGGGATTTCTCCATACGAACTTATATACAAGAAGAAGCCTGCGACTGGCCTGCGAGGTTATCTGGTTGGGTACTATGGGGACAAGGACGCTTATCGCGTATGGATACTGGAGGAATCTGAAGTCGTTGTGTCGAGGGATGCGTTCTTCAACACGGGAAAGCTGTCGACCCCCATCTTTGAATACTGTAGCAGTAAAAGCGAGTATGAGGGGGAGATCAAAATCCTACACCAGCACTAGCACCGACTAGAACAAACTGCGGAACCTTTGCCAGCACCATGCATGTGGAAATCAAGGTCAAGCTTGTTGATACCAGGATCAACTTCAAAATTCAAGATGTCGAGGGACTTGCAGGACTATGTAGTCAGTGGAACCTCGGAGTGCTACTACATCATGATTGCTTATGAAGCTGAACCGTTTATGTCCACCGAGGGAATCTCAAGCCAAAAATTGAAAGTGGCAAGGATTGAGGAGGCAAATGCGTTCAATGAAAGTCACACTTGGAACTTAGTTCCTAATTGACTGTAGGAATATTTAGAAGGGAGATGCCTCTTGCGGCAAACATTTCGGTACGGAATATTCCTGGAAGCGATTTTACCGGGATGAAATATGTCTTAGAAATCGAAGGAAGCCAAGACTATTGCGGTGGGAGCAAATTTTTCCCGGAGGAGAAAATTCTGTGTAGTCCAGGCTATATAATATTTTTTTACAAAAAAAATTAGTTACCGGGCGAAACCGGGTTTTTCAGGAAGATGAAATGAACAGAAATTGGGGAAAAATAATTAAAACAGCTGAATTTTTCCGCGGGTGAAATCACGGGGGTTGAAAGGGGTGGAAAGTGGTGTTTTGCAACTTGTGGTATAACTATTAATTTTAGACGAAAATGTTCAATGTAAAAGTATAGAGATTAAAAAAATGAGCAACTTTTGTATCTACACTATTTTCACATAACCTCCAATTTTCCTAGAAGAACCAGAAAAACTGTTGTTTCCGTTTTTATTCTTATTTTTGCGAAAAAAAGTCGTAGGGGTTTGAAATTTGGAGAAAACATGACTTGTTTTCTGATAAAAAAGAAGATAATTTTTTGGGCCCGTAAAGTCGAACCGTTTCCAAGATCTCACGATTTCTGAAATAAAACCACCTCTTTTTCAAGGGGATGAAAAATCTATTTTTTTCATCGTACAGAGGTGCGCGGGGTAGCAAAATTTTCGGGAAGACTTATATTTTAATAAACAAAAATACAGAAATATTATTCCTGTAGCAAAAATTCGAGAAAATCGCCAAAAACTGGAAAAACAGTTTTAACATATACACGGTTTTTGACATGATAAATCAACGTGTTGGATGTTAATAAAGATTTTTTCTAAATCTGTCTTCTTGCTTCTCTTTAATGTTCGCTTAAATATTCTCTTTTGTTATCTTATGCTCAACTGTTTTAGTTAAAACATCTTTATTATTTCTTTTTTGTGCATTTTTACCGCAATAAAAGCAATTCGAAATAAAATCGGATTATCTTGCTTCCTGATTCCTAAACAATTTCTTTTTGTTCACTGAAGAACCTGCCTGTTTTATAGCTGATGCAATTGCGTTGGGCCGGTTGATAAACTTGCAAAATCTGCAATAAGAACGTTAGTTTTACCGACCAAAGCAAATGATTTGAAATGTAAAACCTGGAATAAACTTTATGAGGATTTTATTCATAATTCCTATAAATTAAGGATCAGCAGGCCCAGCTTAATCCTATCAGCTGTAAAACAGGCAGGAAGAAGAGTTAGCGAACAAACACAAATTGTTCAGGAAGCAAAAAAATTCGACTTCGAATAGCTTTTATTGCGGTAAAAATGCGCAGAAAAAAGAAATAATAAATAAAGATGTTTTAATTAAGGCAGTTCGGTACTGGGAAACAAAAGAAAATATTTTAGCAACATTAAAGAGGTGAGAGAAGACAGATTTCAAAAACTTTTTATTAGCGCGGATCCAATACGTTAATTTATTTGCAATATTGGAATAATATTTTGTTATTTTTGATTATTAAAATGTAAGTCGTTACGAAAATTTTGCTACCCCGCGCACCTCTGCACGATAAAAAAAATGGGTTTTTCATCCCCTTGAAAAAGAGGTAATTTTTTTCAGAAATCGTGAGATCTTAGAAACGGTTCAACTTTACGGGCCCAAAAAATTATCTTCTTTTTATCATAAAACAAGCTATGTTCCCTCCAAATTTCAAACCCCTACGACATTTTTTTGCAAAAATAAGAGTAAAAAACGAAAAAAACAGTTTTTCCGGAAAATTGGAGGTTATGTGAAAATAGTGCAGATACAAAATTTTTTTAATCTCTATAACTTTTACATTTAA